CCTTCTTCTTCTTCTTCTTCTTCTTCTTCTTCTTCTTCTTCTTCTTCTTCTTCTTCTTCTTCTTCTTCTTCTTCTTCTTCTTCTTCTTAAGTAGTGAACGCAATTGGACTGAGGACTGAACCCTGAGAGACCCCAGACATAAGAACACGATCTGGTGACTTGAGCTCTTATTTGCAATAGATATGTATCGATTTGATTGGTAAGAGCACAACCACCTAAGGGTAGTCCTAGCTATTCTAAAAGATGCATCCAATAGCTTCAGTAAGTTATTATGATCTTGGTCATTTATTGTAGGTATCAAAATCTGCTTATCAATCTAAAAGTAAAAGGAATAGCAAAACAACTTTTGTTGAATCACATTCAGCAAGCATGTCATTCATGACTTTAACAAGTGCTGTTGCTGTGCAGTGGTAGGCACGAAAGGCACTCATAATTTTGACTTTAATACTGGATTGTTCACTTGAAGGTGGTGATATAGTGGTTCAAAGACATACTTTTTAATTATTTTAGACAGAAAGAGTAAATTTGAAACAGGGTAAACTATACTATTTCCTCAAAACACTCTTCTCTATAATTTTTCAAAAAAAGGTTTAACAAAAGCAATTTTGTAACGAATGTGGTATTGAACCATACTTAAGAGAACCATTAATGAACTTGGTAATAAGTGGGATCCGTTCTTCAATGCAATACGATTTCAGAGAAGAGAAATAACGACAGGGCCATGTCACAGTGCTCGTGAAGGGATTTAAGAATGACTGATTTATTAGTTCTTAAGAGAAAGGTTTAAACTATCAGAAGTCATCTCATCATAGACATCAAATTTATAACCAGACTGCCATTTCTTTACTTCTGGGCTTTGTGAAATAATACGCAAACTTGTTGGTAATTTTAAACCACTAAAGGAATTCGGGAGACGCGTCTTTTTGACACTTCCAAAAGTTTATCGTAAAAACCGAATAGTTGCTCTGATTATTTCGGATTTTCAAGTTTAGGAACATAGTATTTCTTTTAACCACATTTCATTACAACTCTTGCTTCTTTGATCTAGAAGATGCTTGTGTATAAATCAGATCTCTTTGCTATTTGCTATTCATTTTTGCATTCTTCCACTCCAACCCCGAAACCATTATAGCGCTTACGGTCTAATCATCCTCAGGGAGTGCGTGGTTGCCAAGAACTGCCCTTATAGCAGATTTATACAAATCAACAAAGACCGTTTTGAGATCACTTAAAGATTTTGACAATACCTTTTAAAACTTGTTGATGTCAATTCCCTTGAAATTTTTTGAAGATACATGTTTGTTTTCCTGGCTTAGTTTTAATCTAAGCTTGGCAGAGAAATGATCGAATAATAATTCATCCCCTTAATTAAGTTCTAAACTGACTGTCCACACCAATTGACCGGTGTATCTGCGTCTTTCTGCTATGACATTGCATCATTCTCAGCCCCAGCTGACCCTGACAGGCGAGATCGAAGCAGCCCATCTTCGAAATGATGTAAATTGTGTCGATAGGATGTAAATCATCTACAGTTACTATCCTCACTACCTTGAAATATACTGTCCCATCTTATAGAGTTATAAAGGCTAGAGCGGTTGCTTCGTGGATTTTTTTTACTGTGAGAATCGAGATTTAGTTAATATTTCTCTTTTTTAACGTGGAATTCTCTATTTTCTTAAATCCTCTCAAAGCGGGGTTAGATCTTGCTAATTCCCACTGGCACTAAGACGTTTATCGTCAAAGGGTGAAAAAATCTGGAAAAGAAAATTTTTCCCTTTTTATTTTGAATGTATCAAGCAAGAAGTCCCCCCTCCCTCGTTGTGAAATATGTGTGCATCTGAATAATTCATTGCGTAAACGAAGGCGTTTTTAACGCCCGCAGCAACATATTCAAATCATTTTGGAGTCAGGCATCGACCCTCCCCCCCCCTCCCCCCCTCCCATAATTAAAAAAAAATGAATGTTGTTTTTATGACAGAACAGCAACAGAAATATGATTCTACAAATGAAAGAATTGAACTCAACAACAATACCCAGACACAACTGTGCTTCATTTATACAGTTTCTCATCATGTAGAATCGAGAGAACGGCCTCTGTTGAGCCATAGAAATGAAATTATCATAAATTATTGAAATCGTAAACAGCAAAGCTGGTTAACTAGACAAAATACGTAATGCAAGCCCACAACCCTTTCATCACCACAATGCTACCGATTTGCTCTCTGTACTTTGAAACGGAGAACTGTTGTAGTTCCAGAACAGCAAGTTCTGGCCTTAAAATGCAAACTAGGCTGTGGTCAAAAAATTTATACATTTTGCAGACTTTTGGATACAGAACGTGTTTGATTATAAAATGTACATTTAATATCTCCCATTAGAGTTGAATCGGGGGTGATGCAATGCATGGATCTTGGGACTAAGAGGTTTTCAAAGTGAAGGGAGAAAGTTGAGAAATGGATAGAACATAACATATATAGGCCTACCACAACAAAACACATTTTCACTGCTGCATATGTCACATCTACAGCTCTTGCGATTATATTCTCCAAATGTCACAAGTTACGCAAGTCCCAGATTAACAAGGTTATAATTCTATTGATTGAAGGCATTGCCTAGTCTGCAGCAGTAGTCGCTTGAGCTTCTCAATCGCTCACAAGGACAGCTGGGGTAGGAGCGCCTTCGCCTGAACCGACAGTTGTGGCAGGAGCTTCTCCTCCGGTCGTAGGGGCAGGAGCTTCTCCGGTCGTGGGGGCAGGGGCTTCTCCTCCGCTCCCACCTGCGCCATCTCCGTCACCGTCACCGTCACCGTCACCGCCACCGTTACCGTCACCGCCACCGTCGTTGGAGCCACCGTCTTCCTGACTACTAGTGGTCGTCTGCTCGTATAAATGACTGCATTGGTCGTCTTGGGGACAACCTGCCAGACACGAGGCCGAGTCCTCGGCCCCGTCGCAGAAAGCTGTGCATACCTTCTTACACTTGCAGTCGTACATGCACTGTCTGTAACAGCTGCTGTCGCACAGCACTGGGATGACACCGTCGATGAACTCGCATTTGGTTTGTCCGTCACACATCTCGTCACATTCGTCGCCACACGTCTCTGCCTCCTGACCGAGAGCACCGTTGGAGATTGTGAGGGCCAAGACGGCAAGGGAGATGATGAAGAACTTCACTGGGGAGAGGCAAAACAACACGTGAGGTTTTGGTGGTAGATGGGCGGGTGGTTGAGGGAATGGGCGGTGATGATGGTAAATGGTAATGAGGATGAAATAGCTACAAGGAAAAAAAGTAGAATAAAACAAAACAACAACACCCCCTCAAGAATCCAGTTTTGAAACGTAAACTCAAGAGAACCTTCACGGACACTGTCTTCGAACCTGCACTGCTTCGATGACCATGAACTTCATTTTAAGAGTTTAATTTTGCTACTTATATCAGATCCCAAGAATCCCTCAGCACCCCCTCCCTCCTTCCGTCTCCTGATATGACCTGGCAACCATGAACTCCCATAAAAGCTAACGAACCCACTCCACCAACCTAAAATATATCCTCGAATTGATTCTATTCCAATGAATTCCTATTAACCCACGCTTACTCCTTATCGCTTTGATGTCCACACTTTTTTTTATTGCACACTCAGCCAAGCACACACACACACACACACACACACACACACA